GAAGAGACATAATAGCCTGATATTTTACTCAGCAGTCTGCGTTGCTCCATTGTATTTAGCTGCCAGCTATGGAATATCCCACGCGTCTGAAAGAGGTTCCCATGCAGGATTTGGGCTTTAGAGTGAATCTGTGAGTTTATGTGGAATGAAAATGAACATTTAAGGGAAGATTTTAGGGATGAATACATGCTGGCTTGGCTGCTCTGCTGATTTCCAGACTTCAAACCCTGGTTAACATGGAGGGATTTTTACTTCACTCTGACGGATGTGGCAGGGCATAAAATATCAAAATGTATGTATTACACAGCACATTGAAATAGTTGTTGTTGCTGTTGTAATTGGTCGGGATTTACTGTAACACTGATTGGGTTTTTCTGGCCAATATCAATTTTGGCATTTGAGATAAATTAACAGATATCCAACTTTCGCTATGAACTTCAATTTGGTTATTAAAGGAGCAGTGTGCAGGATTTAGTGGCATCTAGTGGTGAGGACTGCAAAGTGCAACCAGCTGAAACTTCTCTCATGTGCTAAGAAGGATTACCTCATTGTTCACAAGGTTTTTAAGAGGAGCTAAACTATCTGTAGAGGTCTCCTCCTTTCCAAAACAAACAGAACCAGTGATTTAAATCAGTAAAAACACTGAATAAAGCAGTTTCACCTCAAGAACAAGTTTTTTGTGATGCTGTTCGGCCCATTGTGGAGAGACTAACCATGGTGGCTGACACAAAAACATGGAAAAAAAGCTGCCTGTCTAGAACCAGTGTTTGGTTTGTCCATTGCAGACCACTGTAGAAACATGGCGTTGCAACATAGCAGAATCCCTCGACGAGGACTTGCTCCCTATGTACATATAATTGACTCATTCTAAGGTAACAAAAATACAACAATTCTTATTTTCAGGTGATTATACACTTAGGAAATTATACTTATTGTATCATTTCCATTCCCCCCACACCACCACTACCACAATCAACAATGAAAACATGTTTTTATTTCTTGTGGATAACCCCTTAACCTCTCGTATTATTTATGTCTCCCCCAATGTTGAAATGAAACCTACTCCCTTTTGTCTGTGTCACAATGTGGTCATGATGAAACAATAATGCAACACAGAGTGTGTGTTTGATAGTGAAGCCAGAGGAGTGAGACATATGGAGGTTAATAACCTGTGAGCATGGCTCTGTTTTATTGAAGGAGTTTGCCTCGTGTGTGTATGTGTGGAAAGAGAGCATGAAAAATGATATATGCATCATTATTAATAGTGCATTTAACCTCACAGCAGTGCCTATTTTGTTACAGTGGAACATATGTGTTGTTTAACAGTAGTAATCGACGGCAGGGAAAGTGTGTGTGAGTGAGAGTGAGAGGGGAAAGGTGTGAGCAGGGGTTGATTGCGAAGCCATTTCCCAAGGCTTTGTCGCGCTCTGTTAGCTGAAGAGCTCCATTTCAAAGACAATTTGTCTACTGCTGAGCACTTTGGCAAAGAGTGGCCTTGTGGTAAAGAAAATCCGTAGTCTTGTGTGTCTGCGTGTGTGTTTGAAAAACTTTTAGCTGCCTTTGGGTGCCTTTTGTGCAGCTATGATGCTCACAGAACAAGACTTTGTGTGAAGGTATACATGTACAGGCAGTATATACTTGTGTGTACATTTCTGCATGCATAGGCTATAGGAAAACTGGTGCACCAGAACTCCGAAATCAATCACTTGTGACATTAACACAGATGCAAGCCCATTCCAATCACCATCTACCAGCCATCAGTGGCTGGCTGAGTGGCCACATTAGCAGGGTCGTGATCCGCTCTTCGGCTCATTTTCAAGGAGATGCCAGCTTGGCCATTCGCCTGCAAGATTTTTGGAGAGGTCTTCCATCATCTTCAAATCTCAGCCCTGCAGGATCTACTGCTGCCACTGCTGCTGCTGCTGCTGCTGCAGCTGCTGCTGCAGTCACCTACACATGCATGCGCACAGGGGTAGAGCCCACGCACAGAAAATCACTCTGGGCCCACTTTCACACCTTTTTCTTGTTCTCTCAGCACCTTTTGACAGATTGTTATTATAATCAGCCACACAAATGTCCCACTTTCTTTAACTGAACAAATCTTAGATAAGCTCTTAATTTAAATATTGGGATTTTTGGCCATAACATTATGGGCTTCTGTGGCATACTGTTACCAGCTGCACCACATTAGATTGCACAAATATTATTCTTTATTTCAAGAAATCCTTATTTCTCCACAACAGTGACAAAAAATATATATTTTACAGATATTCACGGCCCGAGCACCACACAGTGCAAGGACCCTATTGAAACTGAAGGAATTATTCTTCTTCTCCAAAATGGATTAAATTTTTGAGGGGCTTAATGTCCCCAAAAGCTCATGAAACTTTGCACATACATCAAAACTGGTGAACATTTACATCTGATATGGGTGTCATAATGGGGTGTGGAAAAAATGGCACAGTAGCGCCCCCCACAAAATTTCTATGAAGCAGCCCTTATAGGTGGTTTCACCTATATGTACAAGGCACATGGTAGGCACAGGTAACATCCCAACATGTACAAAAACGTCTCTGGGAGCTATACCCTAAACCCAACAGGAAGTCAGCCATTTGGAATTAAATGTGTAATTTCTGTGCATTTTTTGCCATTTCCAGGGGTCATACTTTTACAAACCCCTCCTGGAGATTTGATCTGATTGATTTCAAATTTTGTCTGTATCATCTAAAGACCTATGACATTACAGCTTACCCAAAGCTTAAGTTTTTGTCAAGCCGTGTGACTATGGCGAGGCATCCAATTTCTATGATTCGCCACCAAATAGAAATAGTTCTTACTCTAGTATACACAGTCCACTGTGTACCAAACTTAAGATGTTTGGTGAGAGTCCTACCCTGAACACATCTACATGCCAATAATTAGTTTTAGTCATAGCGCCCTTTACTGGCAACAAGAAGTGACATGTTTTATGCTTTCAGATACTTTTAGCAGGTTGACCAGATCCACCTCAGATTCTTTTGTCAGTTTTTGTCAAATGGCGTTGCCTTGGCATGGGGTCCATTTTGCATGTTTCACCTTAAACAAGGAAGTTGTTGTAACTTGAGAAGACATTGTGCAATCTGGCCTAAATTTTGCATGTTTCATGGCCCCATGGCATCTACATTAAGTTACAGTCATAAGGCCACCTACTGGCAACAGGAAATGACATGTTTCATACTTTGACATACTCCTCTCAGAAGGGTGATCAGATCCACCTCAAATTTGGTTTGCATAGTTGCAATACCTTGATGATGTTTATTTGTGATGATTGTGAGTTACATCAAATGATGTTGCCATGGTGACACCTTATTCCCCAACAAACAGGAAGTTGTTGTAACTTCCATGTACCTTGTCCAATCTGCCCCAAATTTCAATTGTTTCATAAGGCTCAAGGCCTGAAGGCCTCAACACGCAAATTAGGTGTCATGGTGATTGCGCCACCTACCGGCAACAGGAAGTAAGACTTATCGGACAATTATCTTTTCATTTACATGGAATTTACATGGTGTGCTCTACAATTGATTGATAGCAACATGATGTATAATTACTGTGTTCTCCAACACCACTTAGTAAACAAAGGAAGCGGTGTGAAATGCGAAGTAGGTCATTTCAGCGCACACGCTTTAGAGGGATATACCATCTCACTCCTGCATGCTGTGTCTGACTTTCACAGAAATGAAAAGCCGCATCAGCCAGCGTCCTGCCAGCACCCCCGATGGGCGTGAAGGTGCGAGGGCCCATTCATTGCTGCTTGCAGCTTTAATTTAGTCTTAGACTTTGTAGCACCATCTCTCAGCTCAGCTTGGGACTCCCACACACACACACACACACATAACTGTACAGATGCATCGCAGAATCTTCTATATCACAGAAAGAAATTGAAAACTACATGTTTATTAGTCTCGCTCACCAGACCTTTCTCAAGAAAAGAAAGGTCTGGCTGGGCCGACTCTCACTTTGAGATTGGAGAAAAAAACACCCCGGCTGCTTGTACTTCTTTCAACCAATCACAATCGTTCTGGGCGGTGCCACAGCAACGGTGCGCTTGCAAAAATATTGCCGGGGGGAAACAGGTTTTGGTGTAACACACCCACAAAAATATCACCTAAAGGACGCGAACCATGGCAGAAAAATGGCTACATCCCCGCAAGATCAAACACCGCAAAAGTTAGTAAAGTACGTGTTGAAAATGGTTGAAAACTGCTATACAACCGGAGGCGGTAGTGCGGGACTTCAGCGGGTTGCTCGTTCCGCCCAATGAGAGGCTGATCTCTGCAGCGAACTTCCGCCCACTCAGACTACGTGTTTATAGACTTGCTGTATGTGAAGGGGTCTCACCTACTCAGCTTTAGTCATTTATGGTGTGAATGTGTCCAAGGTAACTGCTGCTGCTCTTCTTTGTGGGAGCAGATGGAGAAAGTGTATAATGTGCTGTATAGGTTATGTCCTTCAGATTGTGTTGCAATAAAAAATAATAATAATAACAACAATCAGCCTTGTTTTTACATTCTTTTTTTTTTTTTTTTTTTTTTTGTCATTTAATTGATAGCTGCCTTTGTTGTTCACTAGCACAACATGTCATGTATCCATATTGCATGTACATTTTTCAAGAGAAATGGCATTTATTCACTTATGCAACCAGATTTTATTTGTTGTATGTCATAAAAAAGTGTAATTCTGTTGTATTATCTGTCAAAAGTGGAGTGTTCTTGGAGCTGGCATCAGGAATTCAGAGTTATACACTGTATGAAACAAATAAGGAGAATTCAAATGCCTGTGTTTTCTGTTGTTGTGTTTGTGGCACTGTCTGTCTGCTGATGCATGGAACATATATACATATAGGAGCAAAACAAACTGGAAATACTTTTTTTTTTTCCCAAGGTGGTGTGTATAGTTGATGTTCTGGTGCTTATATGGCTGCAACTTCTCACTGTACTTATTTTTATTAACTTTTTTTCCAGGTATGCTGTCCTTCAAGACCCAGCAGGCTGGCTAAGTGTGAACCCAGTCAAAGGCATTGTCAACACTTCAGCCCCGCTGGACCGTGAGTCTCCTTATGTCCATGACAATAAATACACAGCAGTCTTCATCGCCACAGATAACGGTGAGTTGCAGACTTCCCATTGCATGAAAATGACAAAAGATAATTAGATAATTAGACATAAAAAGGATGTGATGTATTTTATAAAGCATACAGATAAATAAATATCCATTTTGCTACCTTCCTACTGATATAATGCAACAGTAATTGGCAGCTAGGAAATAAAAGGCTTTGAAATTACTATCCTAAATTGTTTCCTGGTAGATATTTCCCAGGAAACAAGCATTTGACGCATGAAAAGTGACAAAGGTTTGTTTTGAACAAATCAATGAAGAATTGGATTGTTGGTGGGGACAGTGACAGCCCCAGTGGATAAAGAGCAAAACAGAAAAACTGCAATACAAAATCAAAGAAAAACAATATCAAAGTCCTTCTTAAACTGTTTAATTAAAAGTGTAACCACCATAGCACCAAATATGTCAACAAAATATACTATGTTTATTTAAACTACCACTCAAATAAACAATTTAAGGTGTTAAATGTGTTTTATGGTGTTATTATGATAAAGTTTTTCTTTACACAGTGGCAGCGAGCCAACCAGGCTTCACACAATAGATTTATTTTCACTTGTATTATACAAAGAATTCCTCTTGGGTGATGAGTGTCAGTGCAGAATCATTGCAGCAAACATGAAAAAGTAGAAACAAAGCCTGCCTCTGCATATAAGCACAGTTCACTCTTGGAATGGACTCACCCTGTCGGTTAGTTTCACCTGGCCACAGTGAAACTGCCATTATCCCTTGGTGACAATGGGATGGCCTTAAGTGGCGCTGCTTCTAACAGACCATATGGTCTCTGGTTGGCAGTGTCAGTGAAGCTGCTACTCTGAGACTTTCTGAGGCACAGATGAAAGTGTCGAGAACCCCAGCGTGTCTCTCCTTTTTTTCTTTGCTTCTCTCTGTCTATGTCTCGCTGTCTCTTTGTCCCTCTCTTTCACTGTCTCTCTCCCTCTCCCTATCAATCTATCTGGTCTCCTGTGCTCAGGGAGATTCTGACAGATCCATTAGAGGAACTGAGAGATTCTATTAGTAGGCAGCAGAATAGCACTGTTGTGCTGGGGAATTCTCCAGCCTCAGAAAGATGAGCATTGAAAGAGGAGTAATGATGGGGCAGGAGGAGAAGGTGGAGGATGTGGAAGGGTCGCAGGAAGAAGAGAAAAGAAAGGACATGAGAGGTGATAACAGGAAAAAGATATAAAGCCAGGGAAGTGGGTAAGGAATGGTTGGAGATGAAGAGAAATGGTGAAGATTATGAGTGGACAGGGCAGAGGCTGAGATTAGTGTTGGCGTCAGCAGAGGATACACGGTAAGAAATGAAAGTGTATCCAACAATTTCATATTTTTGTAAGGGTTTCAAGACGGTGTGTATCTGCTAAATAGTTTAACATTTTGGGAAATACACTTATTTGTTTCCTTGCCGAGAGTTAGATAAGAAGATTGATATCACTGTCGTGTTTGTATGGTTAGTATTCAGACCAACAGCAGCTGGTTAGCCTAGTTTAGCACAAAGACTGGAAACAGAGAGTAATAGCTAGCCTGACTGTGTCTGAAGCTTACAAAATCCACCTACCAGCACCTATAAAGCTCACTAATTGATATACTAATGTCAAATGAGAATGAGATGGGCTATTGTTTATTCAAGAATAAAAGTGTAAAAACAACGTATTGTGGTCCAGTGTTAAGTAAATTAAGCTAATCTGTTGCTAGCTGTAACTTTATATTAGATTATATTTTATTATATTATTAGATATATTAGATTCATTTTGGTTCAGTGTGTTAGAAAACTAACACTAAATATGAAACACAGCTGAGGTTGATGGGAATGTCATGCAGGTAGTGAAATGTTAGAGGATCACCAAAGTTATTGCATTTCATTCTTAGGGGCATGAATTCCTGTACCTAATTTCCGAAATGCTGAACTTGAGGCTTCAAAGCATGAGTCAACAAACAAAAGGATGACACCATGGTGGCTACATCCATTATGCATTTTACAGTGTATGTCTGGGAACCACGAAAGTTTGAAGCGAATTTTGAGCCAAATCATGTAGATGGTTTTTAACTATTACAATGAAAATTTTGCCCTGTTAAGACATTCTCACGCTGACCCTGTCACATATCGATATTTGGTCATGGACTTTCCATGTCAAGATATAACGTGCAAGGTACCTTGGGTACATTGGTTGTTGACATTCTGGATGTTGTGACAAGTTCTGCCTGTTACATACATTGTCTGTTTTCAAAATACACTTCCATTTTCACAGGAAATGTACAGTTTGCATAAAATTAATGCACTATGCCAGTACACCACTGTGAGTTGACAATTTTTTACCTTCAGCAACAAACGCACGTGGTTATATTTTGCCCACACATGCACATGGTTGGAATTAGGCAACAAAAACATGGGTGTGAGTTCACGAGTAAAGAACAGGGTTTGGCTTTACAATTATAGAGGAAGCAAACACCAGCCTCCCAGGTGGAAGTCGGTGGTTGTTAGACCCATCCACCACTGCTCCCGCCCACCCTACTCTAAATTCAGCCATGTTGTTGTCCCACCGCATTTCCCCCTGACACCACCAGGTGCCATTAAACATTGAAGGTAACCAGCTGTGCATTATGATGACGTGAAAGGGTAACTTTTTTTGTCTGTGTCACACCAGAAGTCGACCAAGCGCCCCATTTCGACAACTTCGGAAAATGAAAAATGAAAATCTGTATAAATCTTGTGACAAACCATCCAATAGTTGAGTTGAGATATTTCAGACTTTATGGAATGGCAATGTCGGTTGGACCGACCAACCGACCTCGCCCTTGAGCCAAACCGTAAAATTCAATCTGCACCTCGTCCTATTTATGTTAAAGGTGATAGATTAGATACACTCGTGCTCATGCTGCTCTTAAGCCACTATTCTACCTGCACAGATACAGGCAAGGGGAACCATAAAAATTCCTTCACCCAGACCTTTAACAACCTCCTGAATTGATGCGTGTATGCGTGCAGTCTTTGTGCACGTGGTTCAAATGTGAGCAGAATACTAATATCTGCGACCCCTGCCTCGTCTCTTTCGCCTCACAATCTGTCATTGACAAGAGAAATTTGCTCCTTCCCCCCAGCGATCTGCACAATGATTGTATGACAACCCACCTGTGTAGACTACCAACAGGATATCGATTGACCCTTATATCTTCATCTTTATCTTTATGTGGAGACCTAAGATGAATGCCTTTCTAACCTGCACTGGAGAGGAGGAGGGTGAGAGTAAGTGCCATATGTGAAGACCCTGTACACAAAAAGAAAATTGGGAAAACATGTTCTGGAACAGGAGAAAAATCGATTGAAAGAAACAGATACTCAAGAAGGTTAGAGAGAGGTCTCTAAAAGCATTACATCATCCATTTTTCTAGGTAGGCTATATTTAATTACACAAGATACTAGAAATCTACAATGTATGGACCATGGAATTAGATTTTTACCTGCTGAATGTTTCTCAGTAACTTTAGGTCTTGTGTGTACCTGAAGGGGCGAGAGTTCTTCCCCAAATATGTATTTCTCCTTTGTCGTGGGCCGCCCCATGACCACTTTAAGGCGATTTGACCTTTTGTGCTAGCTTGAAATGGGAAGTATACTCTTGGTAAATGTTATGCATGGTTAGCAACAGATTGACTGTAGCTCCTGGTTAACAGCGTGAGGGCAGGTCAGCGGGAGCAGGCCTCCAGGCAGCAACAGATGGTGAACGGTGGAGCGAACAAACTACAGAGAAGGAGGGAAATTTGGACTGAGAAAGACAGGCTAGGATGGTGGATAGAGGTAAGAAAAAGAAGAGAAGAACACAGGATGTGGGGATTTAACAAGGTAGTGAAGTAATGATAATGCTGATGTCAAGTTCAGGGGTCACCTCGGCTGAAGAGTTTGCAGAAATGGGTCTATAGTCTGGAGGTTACACTCTGTTGCCATAGCAATCGACTGCACTCGCAGGACAAGCAGATAGAGCCATTTGTCACTCCATGATGTGTGAAGTTGTACACCTGAATGAATGTGTGATTGTCACTGGCATGTGCACATACATGCGCGTGCACATTCCAGTGTAAATTCATCTGTTTATTTGCATGCACTGGTGCTCACCCTCATCTCTGCATCTGTATTTGTGCACATTGTCTCCCTCCTCCCATCATGTGTTTCTGTTTCTGAGTTAATGACTGAAAAGCCACAACCCAGTTTTGCCTGGGCAGCGGCACCTGGCAGGCCGGCGGAGCGGCGCGATATTGTTTGAGGAGATATTGTTCCAACCTGAGCAGAGGGCTTGACGGGCTGTTTATATAAACTCTCATCAGTAGCTGCTGGTTTTGCACGCCAACAAATTCTCTTCTGCTCTCTGATTCCCCACCGGGACGCCAGCTGTTCCCGCATCTTACCCCCTTCTCCTTCCTTCACATTAGGTTTTTTTTTTTAGATTCTGTGTTGGCGCGTCTGTGTGTCTGTGTGTGTGGTTGATTTCGAAGTTGTGTGTTCATCCTGATTTTTAATGTCTTTGTCCTGGTACATGCAGCGCCTCTCTAGCCTGCCCCTGTGCATCCACTCGCTGCTGTGTGTTGTGGTTCAATGTTTTCTCCTGCTCCTCATTTAAATGTTAAACCGCCTCCTGGTGGGAGCCATTTGTCATTGGGAGGCATGAATACATTATCAAAGCCCCAGTCGTCTGCAACACGGCGGCGCGCTCACACGTACTCACACACACACATAAGCAAACTTCAGTGTCTGCCGCAAACATACCTCCTATTAAAAACTCTTAAGTTATGCACAAAAGAGCTGAGCAGTGTTTGTTTTAAACACGTGGCCATACAGAGGAGAGACCTCTATTTAGAATTGTGTGTGTGTGTGTGTGTGTGTGTGTTTTTATCTGGATAACAGTGAGACAATCTCGTCACAGTCAAAGAGAGCTTTGTTAATTACAGGAGTATTAAGTATTACACACACATACACGGACCCAGACTGAGCAGTGTGATAAG